AATCTTTACAGAAGTAGATTGCCCCATCTTCCTTCTGCAGAGCAGCTGGTGGGTTTGAACCACCAACCTTCTGGTTAGCAGTCAAATGCCTTAGGCACCACACTACCAGAGCTACTTAGCCCAGCCCTTGGAAACCACTAATAAACTGGTTTCTATACATATTCCTATTTCATAGAAATGGGGTCATACATCTGGCCTTTTGTGACTGACTCAATGCACTCAGCATCATGTTTTCAAGATTTGCCCATGCCACAGCAGGTTATCAGGACTCCATTTCACTTGATAGCTGATTAACATTCCATTACATGTATAGGCCACATTTGGTTTATCCATTTATCTGTTGATGGACATCCAGATTGTTTCTACCTTTTGGCTGTTAGGAAAGGTGCTGCCATGAGCAAAGGTGGCCAAGCTTCTTTTGACTGACAGACAGCATGCCACGTTTCTTGTACAAAGGTGTTATTTTGTAAAAGGGCACACCTGGTAAGAAAATGTTCTAACGTGATGTTTGTTTTCAAACTTTAGTTACAATATGTTCGTTTCCTCTTCACTTACCATAAGCAGGGGAATGCCCCCACCTGCTGGAAGCTACGTGCTATGTGAATATTAAGCACACAGAGTGTTTGGTAAAGAAAGATGATGTTTCCAGAATCACAAAACACAAAGTAGTCCATGTTCCAAAAACAGTAAAATATGAATGCATCAATTGAGCAACTCACACGAACAAGGTAGAAGGAGGATTGCAGAATCACTGGCACTGCAATTCTGAATACACAACCACTGGATTCAGTGTAGAATCAAAGCAGGTCCTGGGTAACAGGTATATGGATAGCAATGCAATATGTCCCCCTGGACACCCACTGTAGACATGTTATGTTTCAACCACACGTGAGAAAATTCCACTCCTTTGGCACAACCTTTAATTGTCCACCTTTGCTCACACTTCTGCTCCCACCTGCAACACCCTCTCCTTTCTGCCCTGCCTCCCCATAACTAAACTCTTCCTCCTATCTGACCCCCTCATCCAACTTCTTATCATCTGTTAAGCTCAGTCCAGTTTATAACTCGTCTCCTCCTGGTTAAACACTCAACTGTCAACCGCTCCACGGGAGAAAAGATTTGGCAATCTGCTCCCAGAAAGATTAAACCAAAACCAAACTCACTGTCATCGAATTGATTCCAACTTACAGCATCTCGAGGACACAGCAGAACTTCCCCCTAGGTTGTGAGTTTTTATGGCAGTAGACTGCCTCAGCTTTCTCCCACAGAGCAGCTGGTGGATTTGAACCGCCAACCTTTTGGTTACCAGCTGATTTCTTTAACCTCTATGCCACCAGAGGTCCTTCTATAAAGATTATACCCTAGAAAACCCTCTGTTCTACCAGGTCTACTCTGACACATAAGGTCACTAAGACTCAGAACTGACTTCATGGCACGCAGCAATGACACTCTTCCTCTGAGCCCACAGTGTGGGACATAAATTTATTTCCCATCTCCAGAGGAGACGATGGGAACAGCAAAAATAACTACTTCTGTGTCATATGTTCCTAGCACATACACACAGTAGGCAGTCAACACACAATGAAATAAAGCAAAGGTGTGAACGGGAACCTGAAGCAGTCAGATGAACCCCACTTCACTGGCTTACCTGAGTTCAAACCATTCAAACCATGACAGGACATAAACCACACTAGGCTAGTTGCTGTTAAGCTGCCTCCGACCTATGGGGACCCCATGTGTGTCAGAGTAGACCTGGGCTCTACAGGGTTTTCGATGTCTGATATTTTGGAAATAGATCTCTAGGCCTTTCTTCCGAGATGCCCCATGGTACACTTGAACCTCCCACCTTTCAGTTAGGAGAGGAGTGTGATAACAGTTTGCACCACCCAAAGAATCCACAGGAGAACATAACTGACTCATAGCTCACTCTCTGGAGGCATGACTCTGAACCTACTCTTAATTGAGACACATTTCTAGATTGATCAGGTTATAAGAACACAACATATTAGAAGCATCAAAGTGAAGGACAGAGGGATCAGGGAGACAGAATATCCTAGAGGCATATGTAACACTGTTTACAACCTCACAGGAACTAATCATAAGAAACCCACTACAGGAGGGACCAGGTTTGCTGGTCCGATAGAGCCTGGTGGAACCACTGAGACTATGGCCCCTAGCTGCCCTTCAAGGTCTGGAATTGAACCCACACCTGTGGTTTCCAGCCAAACAAAATACAGGCATGAGTTGAACATTTACATCAAGTAGATACACTCCTTGGAGAGAACAATCATGGGAGAAAGAAGGGCTGCTTATGCACAGGGAGATAGACAGCTCAGGGGGCAGGAGTGTATGGAGGGATGGACACTGGGAAGAGTAACTATGGGGAGAAAGTGGGAGGGGAGCTGTTGCACTGTGGTAAACTGTGGTCAATGACATGAGACAAAGTATATGTTAACTGCTGTATGGAAAGTGAATTTGCTCTGTAAATCTTCACCCAAATCACAATAAAAAAAAAAATGAGCTGCAAAAAGAAAAGAAAAAGAAACCCACTGCAATCACAGCACCCCTAGATAGCAGAGCAGAACTGCCCCATAGGGTTTCCAAGGTTGTCGATCTCTATAGAAGCAAAACCCAAACTAAACCCACTGTCGCTGAGTTGATTCCAACTCACAGTGCCCCTAGAGGACAGAGCAGAACTGCCCCATAGGGTTTCTAAGGCTGTACTCTTTCTTTATGGAAGGAAACTGTCACTGTGGAGTTCCTGGTGGATTCTCCTGTGGAGTTCTTGGTGGATTCAACCACTGTGCCAATGACAAAATCAAACCAAAGCGGACAACTCAAAGAATACAGCAGTCTGAGGTCACTTGCTGGAGCAGGAAACAGGCCATGTGCCATTGGCTGGCACGGCCTCAGGGAAATCAGCCCATGGTAAGCAGCTTGGTGTTTTGCAACACATAATGATCAGAGCTGTACTTAAAGACAAAATCATGTTGAGCCGCCTTCTGCTCAAGATGCATCAGATAAATAATAAAAAACACTTATAAAACGGTTCAAACTTGCAGAATTTGACACTTGAATGGATATGATAATATGATAAAGTTCCAAAAAAAAACCAAACTCACTGCCATCAAGTCAATTCCGACTCTTTAGCAACCCCCATTGAGTTTCCAAGGGGGTAAATCTTTATGGAAATAGATTGCCCAGCCTTACCTCCACGGAGTGGCTGGTAGGTTTGAACTACCAACCTTCTGCTTAGCAGCCAAATGCCTTAGGCACTATACCACCAGAGCTCCTTAACTGAATTAGTTAGAAAAATGTGCTTATGTGGAACCCCTAACTCATTTATCTAACCCAATGGGGTCATACAGATGTCACTGTAAAATTGTGCCAGACAGAATAAAGTAGCTGACATTGAACTCATTAAAGAGTAAAGAAAATACTTTGAGTCTTATCTGTGATTTCTTACAGGACAAAGTTTTCTTAATTACAGCTTGGAGGAAAACAAGGCCAAAAAGAACCTCATGTGTCCATTTAAAGCAGTTCCAACTATTGAAATAAAGCCACCAACATTTTTCAGTAAAGAAAACCTGGAAGTTCACACACACTATGACCATGGGAAGTAGCTTGCAGCT